TTCGGATTTATATTGCGGAATAGAAAGTGTCTGGAATCATCTCAATTACTGGGTAAGATAGTATCAAACATTGTAATTCGTAGTGTACGAAGAGCAAAATTAACAATTCACTGTTCATTAAAATCTATAGGTTCTATAATTTCTTTGAATATCGCTTCGCTCACGAAATAACCAATAGACGTTAGTTTTAGTATTGATTTTGGTATTATTTTGAACTTCCGGTAGGTACTTCTTGATTTAACGCCTGGGGGGAATAGTCCCGGGCTCAAAAAAAAAACGCGCATTTTTTTTTGTTCAAAATTATCTTCATTCAAGAGCCACACAATAATTCCAACGACGCTCCAACATTTCAATACCACTTTTGTAGACCGATTTTTCTTTTGCCTCAAAATAGGACTTAGTTCCAGCAATAACCTCTTCATTGGAGCGAAACTTCTTCTTGAGGTCTGCAAAATAGCCAGTAGTCGCTGGAAGCCAAATCTGATGAATACAGTGGATATGGGACTTATGGCACGGTGTGTTGTCTTGATAAAAAAAACTTTTTTCCTTGCCATATGCAGTCGTTTCTTTGCAATTTGGCATTCAAAAGCTCCAATAACGCCATATAATATTCACTGTTGATAGTATTTCCCTTCTCAAGATAGTCGTTGATTAATACACCACGCATATCCCAAAATACCGAGGCCATAACTGTCCAGCCGATTGTTGTGCTTTCGGGCGCTTTTGACGGATTCACTAGTTGCTCTCCACTCAGATGACGATCGTTTTGATTCCGGAGTGTAGTGATGGATCCATGTTTCATCCATTGTCACAAATCGACGCAAACATTTCGGTTTGTTTTATTTAAACATGGCCAAACACAACTCAGAATCATCATGAAGTTATTGTTTTTAGTCAACAGTGAGCTCGCGCGGCACCCACTTTAAACATAGCTTTTTCATAGTCAAATGCTCATGCAATATAAAGCCAACACCTTCTTTTGATATTATTGTAAATCATGCCCGAAAGAAAATAACGCCGGCCATCATTGTTAGCCATAAACCAATCGTGACGTAGATAGGAGCGCGCAAATGTACGATGTTCGCTGCCGCTTTGGATAAAGCAAAAATAATGCTACCGATTTCGATGGAATTCTGCCGTATTCGATTACGATATATAAATGCTAGCCACGAGCATATCGACACAGTCAAGTGGAAGTTACATGCGGTACGCGAAGTGATCTAGTGAAGCGATGGACATTCGAATAATAGTTGAAGTTTTAGTTGAAGTGATTGTTGTATTTAAAGTGAAATAAAATGAAGTTTGATTATTGTTCTGTGTAATCAATTATTGAAGAAGCGGGCAAAAATCGACGCGTTCAATAGATAGTGTCGTTTATAATTTCCATTCAAGTGATTTCGTCAAATAATTTTTAAAACTTTGAGCTCGAAGAATTTGTAAGGATGACCTGCAGGGCCAACCTTTTCTCGAATTTTTCTCACTTATTTTATTTCTCTTCAACTCATGAATACAAATTACATAATAAGAAAGGGTATTGCCACTGAAATGCTCGATCAAATAAAAAATTGATAGTAAATGGGAACTTCTTACAAACAATGTAAAAGAAATGTTTTGGAAGAAAAACGTAGAAGTTGCTGACCCGTCAAAATTTGGGTCTCCTCTTCTGTGGAGCCCCAGAGCCTCGCCTGCCCATCCATAAATCCGGTCCTGTCTACTACACAAGTTTTTTTTAATGGATAAGCACAAGACTTTTTTTACAAAATATTTTTTTGATAAAAACCTTCTACATCTTCTAATATTTATGATTATCATTCGTGAACAATCGAACGATGCAGAAATTTAAATACATTCCCAAAAATGTGTTACAGTAACAAAACAATAGTTGCTTTCTCATCAACACTGTTCACTTTTTACTTCTTCTTTTGTTTGAAGGAAAGTTCAGTGGCTGAGTATTTTTTTCTTATAACCTCATAACCGTAGTATTGAAGAAGTTGGTCAAGATCTGCAGGTTTCTCAAAATATACCCCTTTCAATATATGAAAAGATGTTATTTGTTCATGATTTTATTCTGCAATTATATGTCATGTGTAAGTCACACCGAAATATTGTTTTGGATGGTTTCCGGGTTTTGTCATGGTCTTCCTTGGTTATAATATCCAAACGTTTCGACTGCAACTGTGGCAGTCTTCTTCAGTGGCGTGGTCGAAATACACTTCTTGGCGTGTCAATTGAAACAATTTAAGTTGACACGTGGAGTGTTAAATCAAAAACATCCTGTATTCACGTTGGGTGCATGCGCCACTTTTTTTAATGGTATACAAATGATCCAATGTCATCATGTCAATGTCAATCATTCATTATGTCACTTATCGACAAATAATTAATTTATGTAAAATTTGATTTAATCAGTTAATTACTTTAATGATCCAATGTTAGTTGAGTAACAGGATCAATCTTTCTTGAAAAAAACAATTATGTTCTTGCCAATGTTTCAAAGTTAATTAAATTCTTTTTCAGAGATCGAAAAGAAGTTTCTTCGTGTTGAAACTATTTTGAAATAATCAGGCATATAAGATACATGATTATAATAAAGAACACTAAACTAATAAAATTTTCGAGACATGCAACACTACAAAGATATGAAACAAACGTTGTTTTTTTTCTGTCAAATATTCGTTCGTTTGATATATTTTTATATAGTGTCATTGCTCTTCGAGTTTAAAAACCGAGGATTTTTGCAATTTCTTCCTGATGTTTCGCTGGCGCGAGTGGCTAGTTTCTTCAGAGTTTTACCATCATGACTTGCTGTCCGATGACTACCTTTTAGGCTTTGTAAAGCGTATTTATGCCTTGTCAGTTGTATTTGTTCCTGTATTTGTACCTGTATTTGTACCTGTACTTGTACCTGCACTTGTACCTGTGCTCGTACCTGCACTTGAACCTATAACCGCTTCTTCTTTTCTGTTGAAATTCTCCGTGTGTTTGTGGATCTCTATTGCCTCCCGTACGAGTCGGCTTTGGTATCTCTGGTTGGGGGCAATTAGTTCTGTGTTTTCAAACAAAATTAAGTGGTCTCCTTCACTAAGTGCGTGTTCTGCCACAGCTGACTTGTCCGTTTGGCCTAGTTTGCAGTTCCTTTTATGCTCTTTTAGTCTTGTTCCCATGGATCGTTTGGTGGTTCCGATATATACCTTCCCACAAGTGCACGGTATGCGATAGACACCTGCTGCTGATAATGGGTCTCTTTTGTCTTTAGCCGACCTGAGGCTTTGTTGTATCTTCTTCGTGGGTTTGAAGATTGTTTCAATGTCGTGTTTGCCCAATAGTTTTCCAATTCCGTCCGTGACCCTTGGGATAAACGGTAGATATGAGCGTGATCCTTTTTCGCTTTGTGAACTGTGGTGCCCTTCGGTTTCATGGCTTTTCTGGTCTCGGAGGCACTGTATCCATTCGATCTCAAGGCCACTTCAAGATATTTCAGTTTCCTCTCCAGATGTTCTGGTTCACTTATTCTTCGAGCCTGTTTCGTGAGAGTTGAGATGACTCCTCTCTTTTGGCTAGGATGGTGGTTCGATAGTGCGTGCAAGTATCTATTTGTGTATGTGGGTTTTCGATACACTTTGTGCGTTAGTCTGGTACCACATCGTTCCACTAGTACATCCAGGAAAGCTATCCGTTGTTCTTGCTCAATCTCCATGGTAAATTCTATGCTCGAGTGTTGGGTGTTCAAGTGGTTTAGGAAACGGCTTCAATTCAAAAGTGTCTATCGCCTTCCATTCAAACGGTTCCATGAAATAATTTGCTATCACTGGGCTAAGTGAACTCCCCATCGCAACGCCATCTAGTTGCTCATAGAAGTTTTCCCCCCATTGACAGTAACTTCCTGTGAGACATGAAGTTCCTGTGAACCAGAACATCTGGAGAGGTAACTGAAATACCTTGAAGTGACCTTGAGATCGAATGGATGCAGTTCCTTCGAGACCAGAAAAGCCATGATACCGAAAGGCACCACGGTTCAGAAAGCGAAAAAGGATCACGCGCATACCTACCGTTTCTTCCTAGGGTCACGTACAGAATTGAAAAACTATGGGGCAAACACGACATCGAAACAGTCTTCAAACCCACGAGGAAGATACAACAAAATCTCAGGTCGGCTAAAGACAAAAGAGACCCATTATCAGCAGCAGGAGTCTATCGCATACCGTGCACTTGTGGGAAGGTATATATCGGAACCTCCAAACGATCCATGGGAACAAGACTGAAAGAGCGTAAAAGAAACTGCAGACTAGGCCAAGCGGACAAGTCGGCTGTGGCAGAACACGCACTTAGTGAAGGAGACCACATAATTTTGTTTGAAAACACAGAACTAATTGCCCCCAACCAGGAATACCATAGCCGACTGGTACGGGAGGCAATAGAGATCCACAAACACACGGAGAATTTCAACAGAAAAGAAGAAGCGGTGAACCTCAATCGAATATGGAACCCCATTTTAAGGAATTCTAGAATAACGAACGGGACAACAGGCAGCAAGATTGTTAATGTTCCAGGTTCAAGTGCAGGTACGAGTACAGATACAAGTGCAGGTAGAAGTACAGGTACAAATACAGGTACAAATACAACTGATTACCTGACAAGGCATAAATACGCTTTACGAAGCCTAAAAGGTAGTCATCGGACAGCAAGACATGATGGTTAAACCTCTGAAGAAGCTAGCCACTCGCGCCAGCGAAACGTCAGGAAGAAATTCCATAAATCCACGGCTTACAAACTTGAAAAGCAATGACACTGAAAACCTCAGCCATGAAAGTCTAAACCATTTTATTTTTATATATTTTCAGCACGAAGAAACTCCGTTTCGAACCCTGAAGAAATATTTAATTGAATTCAAAACGTTGGAAAGAAAACAATTGTTTTTTAAAGAAAATTTGACCCTGTTACCAACTAACCTTTCTAGAATGAAATTCAAGTTGACCTTTCAGGATTTAGGGGTAGCATTTTTTTTCAACCGACTGTTTTTTAGAACACGTTTATTACAAGAACGTAGATGCAGTAGATGCCGAAAGGAAAATTTTTTTCAACAGTGAAGCCAGATATGACGCTCTCAGTGAAATTGAAGTTGAACTGGATAAAATAACAGAATATTATGAAAAGAGAGATGACAGGTCAGATGATAAGAAATATTTTGTGTTTTTAATGAACAAGTTTTTGATAGAACTGAAATTAGTTACGTAGGGGAAGGTCGGGCAAAGTGAATACCTTCTTCTTACCTTAAGGCTTTAGCAGAAAAGGTATAAGCTACAAAAATAAAATAACCATCATCATTTACCCTTTATAATTGAAAAAGTATTACTGGCAAATAAAATTTCATTAAGAACAAAATTACTCACTTTGCCCGGACTTCCGGGCAAAGTGAATAATTTCTTCGTGACACCAGAGTTGACAAACGTCACATCGAATCTAATTTTCAATGGGATTATTATCTTCTTCAATGTATATTTCGCCCCAAAGAAAGCATAATATATCCTCAAATTCTTTAATTTTCTTTGGTTTTTTAGGCTTTTTAGCGGTTTCTGTGTTTGTTTTGTTAGTCTTAGTAATAGTTTCAATAGTCTTCTTAGGAACATTTTTTTATTTACATCCAGTCTTTTAGTAACGTTCTTAACTTTATTTTTCTCGAATTTCTGTAGTGATTGACTTGGCAGGATTTGGTATAGGTCTCAACATAAGGAGACTGCAGTGAGAAGTCGAGCTTCCAGGTTTGGGATCCAGTGAAATGTACGCATTTTGTTGAATGTTTACTTCTGTTTCGGGCCGCATTGTATCACTTTTCGGAGCTTTTGTTGGTGCATCTAGTTCAAAATCTGAAAAAAATTGAGAACATCCAGGTTCTAGTTCAGGTGTGCCTGTAGATCCAACGTCGCTACTCATCTTTTCAGATGTGTTAGGAGACGCAACAAAGACTTAGAGCTCAGATAAGGTAGCTCTGCTCAGACTCCTCGGACATTTAGTTATTTTTCCCAAAGGATCGACTGGATTTGGAGAAATAAGTTCTTGAAGAAGTGAAAGTGAAGTTTCTGCAGAAGGTCCGAGAGTATCGATCTTTTCTAGTGAACTTGTGCCTTCTGTGTGAATATTCACATTAGATGTACCTGCAATCATGGCGGCTGGTTCGTAATATAGCTACTGCACTTTTCAAAAATGCCGGTGATAACAGTTTGGCCATATCCTATCGATTTATATTGCGTCCTGGGTGTGATTTTTGAAAAACATTTACCTCATTACAACAACCAATGACCGTCGTCAATTAACCAAGTTCTGCACTGGCAATTTTGCCCACCTGCTTCTTTCCGTTTATTGATAGCACTTTAGGTGGATTATTAGTGGTGGTTAGCCAGTCTCATCAATGTTATGTATATAATCCAGATGCATCAGTATCATATTTTATAGTCAAAGCTTCAAGATTTTCATAAAACCGTCCAACTTCACGTCTTTTGAATCCTTCCGCCTTTGCAACCGATGTTGCTTCTGAAGTCCTAAGGGAAATTTGATTGTGAAGTGACAAAAATGACGATAGCCAGTGATCTTCAGCTTTCTCGTACTTGTCCCAGTTTAATGAGTTGTTCAAATTATTTTTCTTAGCGTATGTGAATGCTAAATTTTCAACCTCGTCTCGAGTCACGCAAAAAATACAGAATCCATATGTTTGAGTTGTTATTAACTCTATCTCCTGATCTTCAGTAAAAACAAGATGGAATTGACCTAGTTTTGGGGCCGCGCTGCCGGTTTTCACATGTCTGTACAAGACTGCATAAGCCAACCCTTAGATTTATTCTTTATTAATTCTCCAGCTTTGCACAAATTGATAGCCGTTTGCATGAAATTTTTATCTCACGGCCCTTGTTCAGCTTTTTTTATATTTATTTACCATCTGAAACGAATAAAGTACCTACATTATGAGATCTTAGGTCAATAACCACAAATTAGGGGCAAAGGTTAACACATTTCATTAAAAAACCTGATAATTCTGACCCTTTGTTAAATATACTATAAAAACCAAGTTTAATAACCTAACGAATCAAAATATTTCTAATTGTCAAGAACTAATAATACTGGAAATAATATCGATATACTTAGCTTGCAAAATCAATCTTTTTTCACAAAAACATAAATCTCCACTCTGTCAGCAGCACGCGTCGCGACCCGTCACTCTGGTGTTTTCCGTGCACTGGCCCAAGATGGCCGAACGTTACAATAGTTGGCGTGTTGAATCATGCTTGAATAAGTAAGTGAGGAAAGTATTCTCTTTGCCCAGTTTATTCACTTTGCCCGGCCTTTCCCTACGGTATGACATTAATTCGCTTATTTGATTAAACCCCAGCTATGTAATAATCTGAATGACTGAAGTCATTATTATTTCTAGATTATATTATAGACAAGTCATATATTCAAAAAAATCAGAAGGGACCAATGCAGAAACATCAAAAGGAGTCAGACGGCCTATCCAGGTAAGATATTCAATAACATTCATGAGTGATATTTTCAAACTATTTCAAAATCGTATTAACTATTTGGAAAATAATAAATCTATCCTAATAAATCTGTATATAGAAATGTTGTACGTTGAAACAAAAAAATACGTCTAAGAATATATCTCTGAAAAAACTTCATATGAATTTCCCCAAAAAAATGTTCAATTATAGAAAACCTACAAAATGATAGTCAACCCCTATCAGACAACGAAATATATTTAGTTTTAAAATCTTACACTGGAGATGGAAACCCTCTCTTTGACTGTGATATGGCCAATGATTCAAGTGATGAGGGAAAGGATCTAAAAATGACAAAAATCAAAATCAAAATTATTTGTTGCTTATCGAAAGCTTATTGGATGTCCAACAAGACCATAACTGTATTCCTCCCCTGATTGAAGGATTCCTTCACCCCATGAACAACCCGGGATCCAAAAGTGAAGGGACCCCTATCAGACAACGAAATATATTTAGTTTTAAAATCTTACACTGGAGATGGAAACCCTCTCTTTTACTGTGATATGGCCAATGATTCAAGTGATGAGGGAAAGGATCTAAAAATGTCAAAAATCAAAATCAAAATTCTTTGTTGCCCATTTCTCTATAGTAAATCTAAGGTCCAATGTACAGAGTATATATACAATGTTTACATCTCTCCCACAAACGGGAGTGGGTGGGGGACAGGAAAAGGGTTGGTAGAATAAAGGGGGGTAAGTAAAGCAAAGTAAAGGATGAGACTTCAATATCGAGCCCCAGGACGTCCACAGGGTGAAGCGCCACCTCATAGACCCACGACAGGCCGATGGGAGGCGGCCCCGCTGGTGTTAACGGGTGGCTATCTGCCTAACAGAGCCTCATTTCAGAATTCAGTCTAAGACCACAGTCTAAGACTTCCCGCTTCCTGCCGAGGCTTACGCGGGATTTATCGAGATGTTGTCATTCCGATATCTCATATCTAAATGTACCTACTAAGTAGGTGTTACAGGATTATCACTAGCCCCCTCAGAAAAAGTTTATGAAAAAAACAGGTATCAGTAATTCTGATGTTACGAGAATACGTGAATTATATTAGTCAGCTTTTCCATGAACTAAGCGCAATCACATTCGCGCCGTTCATGGAAGATATCTAGCATTTCATAAGTCAGCCCGTGTTTACGGGGCTGATTATGATATTAACTCCTAAGCGCCGTGACGTCCCTCGTCAGCGGGCTTTTCGGCAAAAAGAACTTGAAGAATTTATAAGACAGTCTCCTGATATGTTCAGTAACCGTCTCAACTCCTGCCAGATCTAACAGATCATTCAATGAAATGTATATATCTGTCACAGTTCGTACAAATACGGAGCACCTTGTTTGAAGGTGGTTGACAATGTTTCGTGGTGTATTTCATCAGTTCGGACTGAACTTAACTGAAATTACAGTTGTTATATTATTTCTTTGTAATTTCAGTTTTTTGTTTAATAAAATTGTTATTTTTCGGTTAATCTTTTTGATTTTTTTCAGGGTTATCAAATCAATTTATATTATATTAGACAATGGAAGTCCGAACTGATGAAATATACGGAGCACCTTATTCTGCATCGTCTCGAGTCTCCGCAGAGGAGTCGCCTTGATCTTGCAAAATACGGGAGAAGCGTACAACATAGCTGGTCTGATTACTTGTTTGTAAATAAGCAGCTTGTTTTCAACACTCTGAGTTTCGAGTCCTGTGAAATGAGCGGGTACGTGCGTTTAACCGCCGCACCCGCTCGTTGGATGCCAAGCTCAAATGTTCCTGCAAATTCAAGTGCATATCCAGGATATTCGTAACTCCCAGATATCCCTTCACTCGCAACTTCCCGAAGATCTTCACGTTAGTAAATTTCTTCATAAAGTTGACGGGTTCTGTTTCATTATGGTTGATCTCGATATTATTACGCTCGAAGTATGGCACGACCAACCTGTCGAGGTGGATCTGAAACTATTGCTTCGCCACCTCGCTCGAGAACGAATTTACGTACATAACAGTGTCATCTGCGTATATACCCACATTTTTTCTCGGAAATATCGAAAAGTCGTGCGTGTACGGAGATTACAAGTGCGGTGACAGGCAGGACCCCTGCGGGACACCTGCTTTAATTGGATAATTCGTAGATGTGGTTTGGTCCACTCTCACACGAAAAGTTCGGTTGCTCAGGTAGGGTTGAAGAATCCTAATCACAAATAAGGGTATGCCTGCCGACCACATCTTGGCGACAAATCCCTCTGTCCAAACTCTTATTGCTTATTGGATGTCCAACAAGACCATAACTGTATTCCTCCCCTGATTGAAGGATTCCTTCACCCCATGAACAACCCGGGATCCAAAAGTGAAGGGTATGTACCATAAGGACCGACTTTGTCAATAAACTGATAAGAGACATCTTTGGAAGGCAATTGAAATCGAGCATACATCGTACCGGAGATCACATTACTGAGAATATCTAGCCAGAGAAGGTAAAGACTGTCAGTGATGAGCTGCAAGTACTCGTCTCCAAGACAGATTAGATGGGCTGACTCCGTCGAAAACTAACATCAAGATTATAGGTAGACATTTGCGTAAAATTTTCTCGTGGCTCATAACACACTTTGATACTAACAGACTTTCAAAAGCATTAAAAAATCCAGTGTCATGTACCAATCTCAACAATTTCAGAGGGTTCTCATTTATTCTGTGGCTGTTGAATGACACTAGATTTTTCTGGTCTCTGAAATCAGATACGAGTAGGTATGTTCTGCGTGTTCTTTGAAACAAGTTCTAATAGCCCCGTCTTTTCATTTCCAATGATTTGTCTAGGGTTACCCAACATTTGTTGGAGTGAGCAAGAAGTTTTGAAGGCTACTTTCGCGTTTAACTTTCATGTCTTTCGAGAAGATTGACGAAGATTCTCTCTAGCTATCTTCGTAGCTATCAGCTGTGCCTCTGGTGTTTTTCTCAACGTTTTCCGAAGGGAACGTAACAAGCCTATGAAAAATAAAGTTTATTCCTGTCATTTTGTGTTGGGGACAATGTTATGAGGATATCAGGAGTACATCTAAAAGTATATTAGTCGTCAAATTCTAGAAACTGGTTATTTCTAACCACTACGACATCAAAAAATGGTAACTCCTAATTTGTGTAGAAATAGCTGTTGAAGTGAAAACATTTCTGTTCCTTGCAGATTTTTGTTACTTGAATGTAATCTTTAATAACTTCTCGACCATTGACCCTCATAAGATGAACAGTTTTTGATATAGGGGCACTTGGAAACAAATAAGATACATCAAATGATACTGAAATATCCATCTCGCATTTTCACATCCTCGATTTTATGATGTGAATCAACAAAACTGTTTGGTTAGTCATTCAGCAATTTATTGCACCGCATTGACTTGCCAGATTTGGGAATTTTTGGCAGACCTTGTTCCGCAATTTTCTGCTATCGAAAATGATAGATCAAAGAATTTGCATCAAATTTTGCATTGAGTGCTTAAAAAAACTTGAAATGTTGAAACTGACATACGGTGATTGTGCTCTGAGTCAGAAAAAGGTTCACAAGTGGCACAAGCTTTTCACAGAAGGTCGAGAAGATATGAATGACGACGCTCGCCCTGGACGCCGCAGCACATCAACAACCGATGAAAATGTTGAAAAAGTGAGGAAAAAAGTTATGGAGAATCAAAAAGTGAGGAAAAAAGTTATGGAGAATCGTCAAATCACTATTAGAGAAGTTGCCGAAGATGCCGGCAAATCGGTTAGCTCATATCATGCAATTTTTTCGGAACTATTGGACGTGGATAGTGGGTAGCGAAGTTCGTTTCAAATTTGCTGAATTTTGACCAAAAAAAACCGTCGCATGAGCATCACTCAGGAATTTTTGAATGAGGTCAATGGCAATCCAGATTTGCTTAAAAGGTCATAACTGGTGACGAATCGTGGGTAAATAGTTATGACATCAAATCCAAAGTCCAATCGTCCCAATGGGAGGAGCCCAGGAAAGCCAAAGCCAAAAAATCACGCCAAGTTCGTACAAATGTCAAGGTTTTGCTCATTGTTTTCGTCGATTACCGAGGCGTAGTGCATCAGGGTTTCTTACCACATGCTCATACGATTCATAAGATTTATTTTCATGAAGTTATGCGCCGCTTGCGGCAGCAATTCGAAGAAAACGTTCGGTATTGTGAAAAACAATTCATGGCTTTTGCATCAGAATAATGCAACTGCTCACTCGTTATTGCTTGTTCGTGATTTTTTGGCCACCGTATTCACCAGATTTGGCCCCATGACAATCTTGCCTGTTACAAGATTGAAAAGACCCATGAAAGTATGGCGTTTTGTGCATATCAGAACTTTTTCGAGGATTGGGAAAAATGCTGGAACGTGTGTATTATATCTAAGAGGGGCTGATTTGGAGGAAACGAAATATAAAATGATGAATAATTTTGAGAAAAATTAAATTCAACTTTATTTTTTGAACAGACAGTGTATTCGTTATCAATTGAGAACAGTTTTAGTGACGAATTAATTTACTTCATCTCCTTAAGACGCTTGTTGAAACGCTCCTTGAGGAAAGTATTGCAGTTCTAGTGTTTGGGAACACTTTTACATATTCAAAATATTTCAAATGAGTATTGTGATAAATACATCTACATACTTCCATATATGAATTATTCCACCTGAAAAATATCTCCTTCCTAAATTCAGAAATTACCCCTCCCCCCGAAATTTTGATCTTAATCCGCTTTTGTCATATAGTAACAAGATGAAGAATAGTTTCATTTATTTTTTCTTATAACACGTGATTATTTTTATTGATTTTATATGTGGTCAATATCAAATAAGTGTCATTAATGTGATTAATTTTAGACCCAATATTTTTTCATCTCCTCCACTGCTTTTTTTAGAAATACGTTTTCACATTACCACAATATCCTGAACCCCCTGTAAAACGTGATCTTTGAAACAAATTATTTGAATTTCATCAGTTCGGACTTCCATTGTCTAATATAANTCCGACTATTTATAGGTCATTCGAGTGCTTTCACCTATCCCCTCTTCTCTCTCTCCACTTCATTGGTTTTAGCGGGAGATGACCGTTTGGCGAGAGTTTGTCGTTTTTCGCTTGATCAGAGGTTTCCATATGTTACGTATCTCTACGCTAGTTTGGCTGAATGCGTTGTTGGACAGCATATACGAGACTTCTTCGAATTTTCTCCTAAACCAGTGTTCCTCTTTTTGGATGATTTCAGCTTGAGCCCGCCCGCACTTGATGATATGTTTTAGAGTCCAAACATGCTCTGCTATTTCGGATTTGCTGGTTTCTCCTCGCTTTGTGTGTTACTTGTGCTCAACAATGCGAACTTTCAATGGCCTCTTAGTTTCACCGATGTATGATTCTCCGCACTCGCAGGGTATCCGGTAAATGCAATTCTTGGAATCTTTTTAATTTTTTCAGGGATTTCAAATCAATTTATATTATATTAGACAATGGAAGTCTGAACTGATGAAATACACCACGAAACATTGTCAACCACCTCAAACAAATTATATGAAATTCCAACATCATTTTTCATGAATACAGACAATTTTTTTTAGAAAATGATCCAAAAGTACATGAGAGACGAATCCAAACCGGCAAGCGATGATATTGCCGTAAGAGAATTTGCCATCGTTGATAGAGAAATTCGCTTGAAATTTCATTACGGCAAAGGAAACGTTACGGCTTCCACGAGAACCTTCATTAAACCACCCATATCAGAGATGGGCGAGGGTATGGTATTTAAACCGGAGCTGACCTTCGGTTATCAAGCAGAAGTCGGGGCTAAGCCTCCCAGGCAGTTGAATTTGTTCATACTGTTCGAAGAGCAACTGAAGGAAGAAGAGAAGGCGTTGAACAGTATAAGAGACGTAGAAATACAGGTAAGGAAAGTAACGATATGTTACTTTTGGGCATTTTTCTACAATGTGATGGAATCAGATGACACTTGATGAAAATCCATAACGTATTCAACACTTTACTGTGAAATTTTCACCTAAGTATAGAGTAAAAACCCGCTTGAAGAAGCTAATATATAGCGAAACAAGTGTTGCGTTTTTATAAAACTGTGTAGCGAAAATCTCACAATGAAGTGTTTTTTGAATAGTTTTCTACTAAGTAATTGCATAGAAAAACATACAACAGTACTGTTGTTGTCATAGACTTTAAATTTTAACAAAAAATCATCTTTGATACACGCCTGGGTGGAGTTTACTCTTAGAGACATCTATGTATCTATATCAATAACTTGTATGGTAAAAAACAAAGGAATCTGTATTTCTCTCTTCAAGATTGAAATTGTTACTGACTGCTTGATAGATGGCAGGTGAGCATACTAGTGACGTTATTCATCTGGGCGTGATGACGTAATAGTTGAATTTTTTAAATGTGAATAGGGGTCATGTGATAGCTCATTTGAAAAGTTATAAATTTCTTTATTCAGTGATAAAAACATCAACATAAATACTCTTACAGGATTGCCAAAAAATATTTAATCTTTTAGTTAAATTGATTTATACAATACAACATACATTCAATTCACATGTCCAGTTTCTCAATTTTCACACTCAAAATTCTACCGGCTGCGATAGGGGAGACCGGGGCACGTTGTAACACGGGGTAAGGTGTAACAGTCGCAAAATCTCCTGAAAGTTTATTCTGGCAACCCCGCATCATGCCAGGGCTTCTAGGGAATGTTATCAGTGCCAGTTTCACTTATACAGCCAATCGCTATATATCGGTGTTACGTTTATTTCTGAGATTGTTGATATTTTGAGCACGTAATTAAATTTTGATCTAGCACTTTGACTTCGATTAACTACTATCACAAATCGGTGAAGCTTTCGCTTTTTTGACACAAACTAGTCATTGCACATTGCCTGATCACAGTGTATAGTGATATGATATTTTCTTTAAAATTTACCGAGATAATTCTTATAAAATCAAGCTCGGGGTGAATTGTAACAAACTGCTCGGGGCAAAATGTAATATGTTACTACTTACCCCGCTCAAACAAACATGCAGTTTACTGAAATATCACTTGCTTTTAGGATGAGAACGTATAAAAAAAACAAACAGAGGTTCTACTTCTAAAGAAGACATGGAAAAGGCCATACACAGGAATCAATTCGCTCAGTGGCAAAAGCTTTAGATATATGTCAAGTGACTCTCATGAGGTATGTTAAAAAGGCAAACGTTTCGTTTTATCACCGAAGACCAGTTTTTAACGATCAGCAAACCAGTAGTCTAGTAGAATATTTGAAAAGTGCTTCAAAAATTTATTTCGGTTTTACTCCCAAGGAAGTTCGTAAATTGGCCTATGAGTGTGCCTTGCATTATGATATTAAAGTTCCAAACTCCTGGAAGGAAAACAAGTGTGCTGGACAAGATTGGCTATCCTTATATCTGCCATAATTGCGATTCTGATAGTGAATAAGTGATTATTATTACATCAAGTTATATAATGTTGTTTTATTAATATGTGTTTGCATTTATATTTTTTAGAGATGTTTTTTGTAGTCAAATGTATGTTCATATTTTTCTTTAAACAAATGAAACAGATGTGTTACAACTTACCCCATATGATGTTACTTAGTGCCCCGGGCCGGGGCACAATGTAACAATGTGGTTGGAGGTCTAACTGTCGACAAATATTTTACATACTGCATAAAAAATGATTTTTTATTTAATACATGAAAATTATAGAAACTATGTTTTACAATACGTAGTTTAAATCATCCCCGAGGCGATACTCTCTGGCCGGCTATACTGATAAAAGTCTTTCCCAGAAATTGTCGCTGAGCGTCAGCAGAATTCGGGGTCAGTGACAACGTGATTCACGACTCCTCTCTCTGTCTCTATTTTGGATGGCCGTTGCTTCCCACTCGGGTGCATTAGGCCAGGCTCCTCCTATCAAGGTTGACAGGAGCTTCGTCGGGGGGCGCAGCGGTCTTGCACGAAGCAATGCTGCTACCCATTTTTGTCGAACTTTTTTTTTTCACATATACAGCCCCCTTTACGTGATTATCCGAACCACCCCGACCTGGATACCGGCGTGAATAAAGAGGGCCCCTTATTCTTCACTTTTTGATAGGACTCTCACAAATTTTAATTATTAACACAATGGACTAACACACAACACAAAATGGAGCCCCATGGTAGCACATGGCATCCGCGTACCTTCTTTGTGGGCGGACGTTATCAGCACATCCGTCCACTGCCACAGCCACCACGAAACTACTATTTCACGACTCATATTATCATTTAAAAAAAGACTCGATAACGTCATCATACCCATACGGATAACGTCACTTATATGATATATAGGGTGACACACTTACGATGAAGACACCCCTATATTTTAGTAATTTTTGAAAGCAAATATTTGATTTTGGTACAGACATACTTTCATGGGCCGCACTTTTCGCAATACTTAGCCCGAGTGACAAACTTGAACTCAGCCTACTGCGTTCCTGCGAAAATTATTTTGTTTCTGGTTGATGATACCGAAATAAGTTATTTGAAAAAGTTGCTCAGAAATCGATTTTCACCCTACATACCGAATTTCAACACAAAATTCTAATTTCATATTCAACTCAGATTTTCAATTAATGGTTCCAAATAAGAAGCTACGAAAATAATAAATTCGTTGTAATGTAGGAATGAGAATAAAAAACCTAATATTCATAATGATTTAATTGATTTTGACTATTTTATCATTTCTGTAGCTTCTTTTTTGGAACCAAATAATATCGGACTTGAATATGAATATTACAAAAAAATCAAATTTCGAATTTTGGGTTAATATTCGGCACGTAGGGTCAAAATCGATTTCTAAGCAACTTTTCTAAATATTTTATTTCGGTATCTCCAACGCAAAGCAAAATATCGAGAATTTGCCCTTTTCGCGGGATCGCAGTAGGCTGGGTTCAAGGCTGTCACTTGGGCTAAGTATTGCGAAAAGTGCGGCCTATGAAGGTCTACGCCTGAACCAAAAATCAAATATCTGCTTTCAAAAATGACTGAAATACAGGTGTGTCTTCATCTGAATTTGAGAACAAGAATCCACCTGTTTCGTGATTTGTCTCCGAAGTCGCCTATCCTCAAAAAATGAATGTATTCCATAATTTTGTCCCCGCTGTATATACCATAGAGTGTGTCTCACTTCCCAGTTGTATGCCTGCTTTTCGTATAAGTGAGTCAAGTTAGTATGAGTGTTCACAGTGTGCTCCGGCTTAGCGAGGGATTTGTTAGGGTTAAAAATTGAAATAAATTTCAAATTTTATACCACTGAACATAGATTTGTGGCCAGCGATTTGGTATTGATAGAAATACTATCCAACCAAACATAACATTTTCCTAGGAATATTTACTAAATCAGGAAACCGTTTGTGATCCAGTGGCGTGTCATTGGGTTATCCAGATATGGAAACTTGTAGCTGTTGTAACAGAGCGGTGCAACCTCATTTGTTACTGAAATGGTGTGTTTGTCACAAATTGTTTTATCACACGTGCGCTAATGTCACTTCATCGGAAACTAGACTGATCTATTCCAAAAAATCGGTAACTTGGACATGCCAAAAATGCGACCAGATTGGTAATGATATCAACTCATTAAGAAGTTCGTAAATTGGCCTATGAGTGTGCCTTGCATTATGATATTAAAGTTCCAAACTCCTGGAAGGAAAACAAGTGTGCTGGACAAGATTGGCTGACAGATTTTCTGAAAAAATAGGGAGGTCTCTATTCGGACCCCAGAACCTACAAGCTTACAAAGAGCAACGAATTTCAATAGAGTTAATCTGTCCCTATTTTTTAATAAGCCAGCTAATTTTAGAGACAGATACGGTTTTACTGCTTTCCAGATTTGGAATCTCGATGAGACGGGTGTAACTACCGTACAAAAAGTTAGTAAAATTATCGCCGTAAAAGGAACCAAGCAGGTTGGTGGCCTATGTTTCTATTTCCTAGAAAACAATTTTATTAGAGATGGTCCCCCAGGGTCCATTGGAACAGCTAATGGTTCTGGCTGGATGACGACCGAAGAATTTTATAAATTTATGAAGCACTTTGTTGCTCACGTAAAGCCATCGGAAGACAGTCCAGTCCTCTTATTATTGGACAACCATGAGTCCTATTTAGCAATAAGAACTATAAATTAAGCAAAAGAAAATTGGGTGGTGATGCTGTCTTTTCCGCCCCACTGCTCTCACCGTTTGCAGCCCATAGACAGGAGCGTATATGATCCCTTTAAAAAGTATTTACCTTCTGCTCAAGATAACTGGATGCGAAGCAACGCCGGAAAGTCGATGACAATTTATGACGTCCCTTCCTTGGTTCATGATGCACGACCACTGGCAGCTACTCCTATAAATATAATGAAAGGTTTTAAGGTTTCTGGCATAGAACCTTTTAACCGGGAAATTTTTAGCGACGATGACTTCTTACCCGCTTCTGTGACAGAGCATCTGCTACTACCACCACCTATATCCTCGCAAACAGATGATTTGAAACCTATTGTAACAACGACTGGCCTACCAGGTAGCACATGGCATCCGCGTACCTTCTTTGTGGGCGGACGTTATCAGCACATTCGTCCACTGCCACAGCCACCACGAAACTCCTATTTCACGACTCATATTATCATTTGAAAAATGACTCGATAACGTCATCATACCCATACGGATAACGTCACTTATATGATATATAGGGTGACACACTTACGATGAAGACACCCCTATATTTTAGTCATTTTTGAAAGCAAATATTTGATTTTGGTACAGGCATACTTTTATGGGCCGCACTTTTCGCAATACTTAGCCCGAGTGACAAACTTGAACTCAGCCTACTGCGAAAATTATTTTGCTTCGAAATAAGTTATTTG